ATGTTTGGCAAAAAACACGTCTAAAATACTATGTCACGCGTGTGTTAGACAAAAACAGAAAATCACGGTATCGAATCCCCTTAAATCAATGGAAATTTTCGATTTGCATATAGTGTTCCAAGCGGATAAAATATTCAACCACAGTATACTGTGATTCAACCATGAAGATCAGAGATAAGGAGACCAAACTCCTATAGCCGCTCGTTTATAAAGTGGCCTGACAAAAGTCGCACGGTTATTCTGCCACCAGGAGCGCGATAGCAGTGCTACGTTTTACAATTATAGCATGTAGTATAATAGGGATTATGTACGTTTTTCGAATTAAACTTGATTTATTATTCCTTACAAATACTTTATGATCTGGATCAGATCCAAAACATATATACAAGAGTAAAGGGATCTCGGTTAAAATTGGTTTCAATAATAAAAATAAAATATATATTATAATAATTAGCTATTAAACACATGGGCATGCCCGGATTAAGACATTTTGAGGCCCAGGGGCCAAAATTTTAAATAAGGCCTCTGTACGAAAAAAAAATAATTATATTATTTAATATTAGGTGCACGTTATAATAAATATTTATGGGTATTAGCCATTAGGTACATAGCAATAAATAATGAATAATGTATCACTTTATTTATAAATTATAATTTACAAGCTTTTTTCTTCGCTAAATAATCATCGATTTTTCTAGGTGATTAATGCAGTGTTATAGCCTATAATGGAAAAAGTAATGGACAAATCTGAGGCCTCTTAATAAATTCTAACTATCGAAGCCCGGGGGCCATGGCCCCCTTGGACCCCCCATTAATCCGGGCTTGCACATAGACATGGATGATTCATACATATGTTTAGGTTACTAAGAACATATTCATTAGTAAAGCCTCCAAAGAGTTCCAATGTTTCTGGTGGAGATATGATAAATACTCTTTTGAATATTAAAGATATAACCAACACTAATGAACGAGCTCAAAGAATAAATCAAGAACTAGATGACATTTTAAACAAAGGACATTCCGAAAAAATTGAAATTGCACCATATATTCATGATCATGAATATAGTTTGACTGATACATCGAGTTTAGTTCTATCTTACTTAGCTGGATACGTTGCTCGAAAATCAACCAGATTCACAAAATGTCAAAGGTATCTTTTAAGTTTAAAAAAGGTGGGCAAGTGGGTGTCGCTCTGCTGTACAGTAGGTTACAAGTGGGTCACTGTATAATGGATGGTATTAAATTTGAATTCAATGATATAATATCATTGTATAAGAAAAACGATTCTGAGCGGTGACGGTATGTCAGTCTATGTATAAGACATATTATATACATATCTATGGTATTAAACAAAAAATTGACCTATAATAGGTACCTATAATAAATTCCAAATTAATCATATCACAATATCCATTAGATACTTATAACGCGTTATACATCAACAAAAACCGTGATACTATCATAGATAATATATAATAGTACACTTTAGAAGTTTCAAGTACCCACGAATAATATTATTCAATCACAACAAAATAACTAAAATAGTTATTCTAGGTTTTTTAATATGTAATTTCGTCCAAGTTTGAATTTAAAATGTCTGTAAAAAATAAGTGTGTTCATATATTTTTTAGATTTTTTGGTTATAGTATGAACTATTTATGAGAACCTTTGTATTGAATTTGTAATCCTTAGCTATAAAAACTGAACATTTTATAATTTATTAATTACAATGATTGATAATTTTCGAAATTTTGATAAATTTTGTCAAAATTTGATCTTTAAATGCTTATAAAAAAAAACTGTGCCTATGTATTTTTAATATTTTTCAACTGCTATTGTAACAATATATCAGGAGCCTTGTATTAAATTTTTACACTTTTTGGCCCAACAGATAAAACTTTATTGATATTTATAGAAAAAAAAACTAAAAAAAATTGAAAGCTGTAAATGTCCATAAACAGTTCAAAAAGAGTCAAAATATTTTCAAAATTGTATGGTGTATAGAAAATGCTAATTTAAACATTCAGTGACATTTTCATGTATCTACAGTTGTTCGTTTTTGAATTGCAACAAAATAAAGAAATCGTTACATGAGTAATCGAGTGAATATCCAATGTTGTAAAAATTTGAATTTCAAACGCTCATAAAAATTTAATTTGACTGTCCGGTAGAGATTTTTTTATTGATAAAGGTAGATAATCTTATAAGGAATCTTGTGTTTCATTTTCAAATCTTAGATTTAAAAAGAAAAATTTTTACGAATTCTTAACTCAAAATAATTTGCTAATTTTCGTGATTTTTCCATATTTTATCAATTTTTGAACTTTAATGCTAATAAAAAAAAATTGTGACTAAGGATTTTTAATATTTTTCATCTGCCTTTGAAACATTATATTAGGAGCCTTCTATTAAATTTTCAAGCTTTTGCAACCAACAAATAAAATTTTATTGATATTTTTAGAAAAAAAACTAAAAAAAAATGGAAAATGAAAATGTCCCTAAACAGTTCAAAATAAATCAAAATATTTTGAAAATGTTATCGTGTATAGAAAATGCAAATATAAACAACCAGTGAAAATTTCATGTATATACGTTCATTTGTTTTAGAGTTACACCAATAGGCAATAACCAAAATCGATTTTTTGGAAAACCAATTTTGCGTAAAAATTCCCGTTTTTCATAATTTTTATGTTGTTTTTCCCGGCGCTTGTGAAAACTACTGGGAAATTTATACTTTTGAGTTTTGACCCCCATAGGCGCAAATAGAAGGGGGGCTAGGGGGCTTTAGCCCCCCTTGGAGTTTCTATAGCCCCCCCAAAAACTAATGATTTCACTAATATAATTTAAAAGCATCATAAGAGTTTCAAGTATAGACATGAGCTTCAGCCCCCCCAAATTTCAAACACTATTGTTGCCAATGTTGACCCCCCAAAGTACCAACTAGATTCACTTTCCTATCAGAAAAGCTACTGATGAAGAAAATCCAAGCACTTTTACTGTCCTAAAACGTGATGACAGACACAAAAAAAAAAATATAAAAATATAAAAAAAAAAACCACACATCATTGTAAAACCAATACATTCATCGCTCCGCTCAGAATCTAAAATGAAGTTATTTCATCTAGAAACAAACTCATTGATATGCGCTCCTAAAGTTTTTTGATTCCGCCATCAGATAGTCTTTTTGCTCTTATTTCAACTTTAGAAAAAATAACGTTACAGACTTTAGTATCTGAAGAATGCTAAATGTAAATACAATTTTTTTCTATAACTTCAAACTTATGGACGGACACTGCATCTTTACCATTTGTTGGTTGTGAAGAACACTATATGGGTTTGACAAAAAGTATTGTTCGCTTTTTTATTACAATGCGTATGCATTTTATTGTAAGACGTTCAAACTACAATGAAACTACAAAAAAAAAGGAAAAAACCAAGTGTAATAGAAAGTTGTCAAAACTTTAATTAATGTATTATTTTTATATTTACCATATCTGTATTTTATGTTTCATTTATCATTATTAATTAGACTCATAGACCGTAGTCATTATATAATGATGTGAATTTTAAACTTTTTTTATAGCAAACACCTTTTGAACTTTGATTATATATTTAGGTATACTTTAACCTGACCAGGTAATAAATAATAAATCATAATTTATATTTCATTCGAATTCAAAAAAATGAAAAAGAACGTACATTTATAGAAAAGTACGTATAATAAGTGGTAAAACGTAGCACTGCTATCGAACGACGCGCTCCTGGTGGCAGAATAACCGTGCGACTTTTGTCGGGCCATATTTTGTATACGGAGTTTGGTGGTTTGGTCTCCTTATCTTTAATCTTCATGGATTCAACCATAGTACCATTAAAATATTATGTGACAGTAGTCACAGTACTACAAAGCCCAAGAAGATGGTAAAAAAAAACAAACTGTAAAATAATAGCTTAGAACAATAGGCCTATATCCGTGGTTACAACCACTATAACGTCATTGATTGTATACTCGGACCGTCGTAAGAGCGCTTCTGGGCGGCGACCAAAGTTCGTCCGTTCTCACGCATTCCCGTGTATTTGCGGCTGCAACTAGGTGGTAGAGTGGGAGAAATACCGCTGAGCTCAATCAGTTGGATGCTCTACATATTGTTCTATGATAATAAGTATCTATAGTCGTGCCCTATATTCATCCATATTCCTGCTAAGTGCTAAGAGCCATTCGAATATAGCTGATAAGGAACGTTTCCTTTATCAGCGTTATCTATGCATTACGAGTACAGCAGCTGAAGACAGACCGAACATTACGTACAACTTACAAATACGGCACTCATAGCGCCCACCACCCACTACCTACTGACACAACTGAGTAGTGAGTACCACGACTGATTAGTGATTACCAGAGTACTAGTTTACTACGTCCGGATCCGTTTGTCGACCGTAGGTCTATGTTGTCGACTTGTCGTACGAACTACGAAGTACATCAGCTATCAGCGTCAGTTGCTCAATCCGCATTCAACAGTTGAACAGTCAGTGAAAAATATTACTAAACAATAAACAGTTGTTACTTGTTACTTGTCAGTTACCGACTACTGTTTATTTGATATATTTTGACGTATAAGTATATTATCTGGTGGCCATGGGAGGACCTAAAGAAGGCGTTCAAAAACAGATACAACAAGACTGGGCGAACCGCGAATACATTGAAGTGATCACGGGCAGTATAAAAAAAATTACAGATTTTCTCAATTCGTTTGGTAAGCACATAATATTATTTTGATCCTAGCCATACAATAAACCGTTACATAATGTCACTTCTAATTCCATATCCCTAACTCTAGTAAGCTCTAAAATACTTTAGTACCTATAGTTTTTGTAACCATGGACACCTCTATTTAAACATATTGTTTGATCAATATACATTGAAGATTTTAACTTAAACCAGTATTCTTCTTTTCATTTTTAACTAAAACCTTTCTTCAAAATTGTAGTTTGTTATCATTATAATGAAAATAACATATTGTACGGATGTCGACAGATCAGTTGTATTAAGTAATTTTGAGAAACGAGGCTGGTTACACGTTGGCCCTGATGATGATTGGAATTTTTATTGGGCTGGTATACAAACATGTCGTAGTTTATTTAGTATTGATAGCGGCTATAGAATGCATGACAACCAAATGATCAATCATTTTCCCAATCATTATGAACTCAGTCGTAAAGATATGTTGGTTAAAAATATTAAACGTTACAGACGTGAACTCGAAAGAGAGGGAAGTCCATTAGCTAAGCGTTTAGATGGAAAATATCTGTATTTAGATTTTATTCCAGTTACATTTGTGTTGCCAGCAGACTATAATTTGTTTGTAGAAGAATACCGCAAGGTTGGCCCAAGTACATGGATTATGAAACCAGTTGGAAAATCTCAAGGAACTGGAATATTCCTCATTAATAAATTATCAAAATTGAAGAAATGGTCTAGAGAAGGCAAAAATAATAATTTCAATACATCTACCATAAAGGAATCATATGTTATATCTAAGTATATTGATAATCCATTACTCATTGATGGTAAAAAGTTTGATCTTCGTTTATATGTTTTGGTCACATCTTTTCGTCCATTAAAAGCATACTTGTTTAAGTCAGGCTTTTGTCGGTTCTGTACAGTCAAATATAACACTAGTGTTGCAGATATAGAAAACTTATTGGTCCATTTGACTAATGTCTCCTTACAAAAACAAGGTGATGAATACAACAGTATACATGGCGGTAAATTAAGCATTCAAAATTTAAGACTATTTTTGGAAAGCACAAGAGGAAAAACAGTAACTGAAGCACTTTTTAATAATATTGTTTGGTTGATTGTTCATTCTTTAAAATCTGTGAGTTACATAATGGCTAATGATAGACATTGTTTTGAATGTTATGGATATGATATAATAATTGATGATAATTTAAAACCCTGGCTAATTGAAGTAAATGCATCTCCTTCATTAACATCTACTACAACTAATGATCGTATTTTGAAGTATAAATTGATTGACAATATGTTAAGTGTAGTTTTACCACCCAGTGGAATACCTGATGTACGTTGGAATAAATGTCCATCTCGAGAGGCTATGGGAAATTTTGAGCTATTAATTGATGAAGAGTTAGCGGCAAAAGATAAACCTGGACCATCAACTAAAGTTGATCTAAAGGATAGATTAAAGCGAAAGACCTAAACATAAACAAAATTAATTAGTACTAGACAAAAATAATATGTAATTAATTTCAAAATTAAACATCTTATTTGTAAATATGACAATTTTATTCAATAGGTATATTAAATACTAATCATTCAGTTTAATAGTAATACCATTACCTCAGATACTGAATTTGTAATTTTTCCGTACATTAGTCACACATAAAATTTTACTTACCTATTTTATACATGTTAACTTAGAAATCCTTGCTGTAAAATATATACGTATTTAATTTTTTTTTATAGATATGTCATGTCGGTCCAGGTTAGCTATTTTAAATGAAAAATTAACTACACTAGAAAGAAGAATTGAATACTTGGAAGCTCGGGTAAGAATGTATTATATTATTAATCTAATGTATTAGAAGTTGTTAAAAAAATACTTTATTTTTTTAGGTTACTAAAGGAGAAACTCTTTCATGATACATTGCCATCAAATTAATGGGAAATACTCGTGTACTATATTTAAATTTTCCAAAGTAGTGTAATTAAACTAGTCTAAGTAATTTATATTTTTTTAACATGTCAAATTTATTTTATACATTTATGATATTATAATATAATTTAAGATATTAAACTTTTAATATTATTAGAACATTGTTTTTGAACTAATGTGTTTTATTAACCCTTTGATGAGTTCATTTTTTTTTTTACTAAATCACTCAGAGTGAATATATTTTAAAAAATAGAAATATACATATTTTTTTTTTATTGGATAACCCGTGGCAACATAGGCCATTAGGTGTGGGGAGGGAACTGTAGGTTTTTAGATTGGGTAGGTGGGTACACGTGTGTGTTGTGTCTTTGGCAGAATTTCTAATGGGGCACCTGTAGGTTTCTGCCATGCCCCGGATGGGGATGGCGGCACTTGTTATCTTCGGACACTGTGACTTGCCCGAAGAAAAATGCCACCCGTGGCCGGAATCGAACCCGGGTCGGCTGCTTGGATTCATTGATTGCAGCATATATTTCATTTCATGTTATTAATATATATAGAGGGTGATTTCTTAAAGATGCTCACCCCATTTTATGTTTAAACTAGCTTTATAACCCAACTTTGCCCGGGAAAAAATTATCAAATATATACAATGTTGTATCTCAGTTTTAGTGTATCTATAACTTTAGATATAGCTCTTGGTTAGGTTAGAACATGGTTCAAATATCTCTTTAAACTTTCCTTGTATCTCTAAGAACAATGTCTGAAATTTTCTTCAAAATTAGTCTGGTAGTTTTTGAGTACACTATAGGTACTTATATTTTTGGAAAATTATAGTGCACCCCTATATAGCGGTATGAATGTACCATGACCATCTCAAATCTAGCTACCATAGTATAGGCTCTACTTTAATCAGTCTGTCAGAACACGTTCGTTTATGCATATATTCAAATTCTAATTTTTTTTTATTTCATCTTAAGCCCGGTGACTATGGCCATTAGCTGTTTTGGTTTTTATAGGTTTTTATGTCGCTAGGGGGGGGGGGGAGGACACGTGTGTGTTTTGTTTGGCAGAATTTTTGATTGGGCACCTGTAGGTATCTGCCATGCCCGGGTGGGGGATGGCAGCACTTGTTCTCCGCCTCACCGGACACCATGACTTGCCCGAAGAAAAATGCCACCCATGACCAAGGTATCAAGCCAGCGTCTTAGACCACTTGGCCACTCCATGCCCATTCTTTTTTTGTATTTTTACGTGTAGTTAAAGGCAATATGTGGGGATACCAACATTGGTTAATCAAATTAGAACCTACATGAGGTATTAATGCAAATTGTGAATCGGATGATTTTTCTGAACATTTTTATGTCTTTATTGTGATCAAAATCTGTTATTAAAATCATTGAACCACGTCAACATTAACATATTTATCTTATATTAATATATTATCGATGGATAAAATTAATATCCATGATTATAGAACAAGAAGTTAGTAACGAACACTATGACTATTCATTTTGTTTATTCAATGTATCAGTTATGATATTATATTATGTATAATAAGCATGGAAAAACCTGGGGCATGTTTCTCTCCTTATAGACTCTCTAGCCTAACTTATTCTTTTAATAAATATTGTCCTTAGTATTTAAAGTAGAATAACACTGAAAGAATTATTGTTTAAATTTCGATTAAAATAGTACAAGTATTCAAAAAAAAGTGGGTAGGTGGATGTCGCTCTGCTGTACAGTAGGTTACAAGTAGGTCATTGTATAGTCAATTGTATTAAACTTAAATTCAATGATATTCTATCATTGTATAAGAAAAACGATTCTGAGCGGAGACGTGTTTGTCAGTCTGGATATTTTATATTGTCATTAATTATTATATCATGTAAGTTGAATTAATATTATAGGTAATATTATAATTTTTTATTTGTTTCTATGGTAATAAACAAAGCGTTAGAAATTAAAATCCAATTTTTAGAGGTTTTTCATTTTTTTTCGGTGGTTTTTACCGTGGCATTAAATAACTATTGATAAAATCCAAAAATGACCTCTCTTAAGTACCATCTTGATCCAATTTTTACAGTTGAACAACTTTTAACACAAAATGTGTTATAGAAATAAATTATGACACTAGAATAATAAAAAACAAAAACAAATGTGAAATGATACATTATTAACAGAAATAATTGTTGATTTCTTTAAACAAAATATTGGTACATTAAATTACAATTAAATTTGAGATAAATTTATAATATTATTTACAACAAACATATTATGCATTGTATTACTCAATGCATTTTATCCTGTATTCATAAATTGATAATGATTCAAAAATGTTATGATAGTGAATAAGTTTATATAAATATCCATAGCTCAAATTTATTCTTTTAACTGTAATTGAACAAATTTTTAATATCATTATAAAAAGGTAGTTGTTTTAATGAAAATAGTTTATATCTACATTAATGTGATTTTGTCATACTTTGTAAAAAATTATTTTAATCGAATGAATAGTCAGATAGAAAAAAGTAGGGTATAAATGTATAGGTATTATGCTTAGACACTTAGTTAATTTTTTTATATTTGCTTCATAGTTCATACCAACAACTATAATACTATTTTTTATAAAATTAAGTATTTTATTCTTGTTAATTAAATCATCTACAAAAATGAAAATGTTTAACTCTTGTTATTTATTTAATTTTGATTATCCATTTATAGGTATTAAAATACAAGACAAATAAGTAACTACATCTATATAATTATAACTAATTGGTAACAAAACAAAATAATTAATAGTTTTTAATTAAATTTAAACAAATGAAACTACAATCATATAAATGTGTTAAAATATATTGATATATACAGAAAAGATAAAACTAACAATCTTTAAAAATAACATCCTAATGTATGACTAATTGATTAAATGATTGACTATTAGGATAATTATATGTATGTATAAATACCACTCCAGTGGCATTACTCTTTAAAAATAACATAAATTCTAAATTTGTAGACCTAAAAATATATTCGATTGAGTAAAAATGAATACATATGTTAAGGTCTAATTACAAGTTTAAATGATAAATACATTATACCAGCAGTTTGTAGAAAAAATTAAGTGTTTAATGCCATTGACACATTATACACATGTGTATTTATAATGAATGTTAACACTATTTTAAAATTTATAGTTGTTTTTAGCCTTTTAATAATAAGTAAAAAAAAGTATATCAATTATAAATATGATTTATCATTATATATTTGTATGGTTAAAAATGTATTTGTATTTAAAATCAATAAAATTTCAATTTCAAAAAAACAGAACATCTTCACCAAAAAAGTTCCAATAGTTTTTTAAATTATGTTTTTAAAGGTGAATTAAAATATTGTGTGGTATAACAATTATAACATTGAATTTCACTCACTCACAAAATTCAATAATGAAGAATTTAGGTAAATATAAACTGAAAAACACCACTGGTTAATGTGTACAAATTAATTAATACGTAGTACATAAACTATTATAACATAACTAAAATTTATATTATTCAATTTATAAATATTATTTAGTACTTAAACACCCAAATGTATTATTTGTAAATAAGTGTTTTATAGTTGGAATGGGTTAGATAAAATAAAGCTATCAAAATCTAGTTCGTGGTACTGGATATCTCAAAATGAGTGCACTTTCAGCTGACATAATAGGCAATTTGTTTTCACTATGATAGTTTACCAAATGACTGACACTTTCAAACATACGGTCTTTAGTTCTAACTGCACCTTCTGGATCAATTAAAAGTAAGTGTTTCTTTACATCACCTTGAAGACCTGTTAATACATATTGTCCAGGAGATCCTTGTGATTCTCTAACTAGGAAGTCACCATCCTATGTAAAAAAACACATTTTATAAGTTTTTACTATAAATATTTGTCATGCATCTATCTACAATCATTCACACATCCTTGTAACTATAAACATTTTTATTTTATTTTGATAAATGTAATTTTATTTTATTTTTATTGTGTGTACCATTAATTTTGGGCTGATATTTTATTCATATATCACAATACAATATCTAATAGCTATATAGGTATATTAGTTTATATATTCAAAATGTTTTGTGATATAATAAGAAATAACTAAAAAGTAATTTAGTTATCCTTGTAATTTTATTTAAATATTGGTTATTTAGTATACTTCCAGTGAATGTAAAGGAATAAATCCAACAACATGAAGTATTTATTAATCAAGAATATGAAAAAAAATATAAAAAATAAACAAAATAAAAAAAAAAAACTGAAAATGTTTAAAGAGCAATTATTAAGATGTAATAGATTAAGAGGACATGTGTTGTATCCGTCTTACAAATGTACAACATAGCCAAAACTGTTTTGCGGGCAACAACTTTACTCTCTCTGTATTTATAGTAGAATTTCCAAGGGTTCCACAACACATAGGGAAGAACTTTATCTGACGTAGCGTTTTAATTTTTTTGATAACACTTACCAATCATTTTTAATAATTAAATGAAAAAAAACCTAATGTTCTCCACCCAGTTCTCCAACTGATAACTTTAATTGTATTTATATTATCCAAAAAATAAAAACGCTACATCACAAAGTTCTTCCCTATGTATTGTGGAATTTTGGAAATACAGAGGGAGTAAAGTTGTTATGTGCCAAACAGTTTTTAGCTTTTTTGTACATTTGTAAGACGGAGACGACACATGCGGGTAGCACGTCCTCTTAAGATGCGATTGAGTTTATCATAATATATCAATCATTTTTATCTTTTTTAATAATTGTTTGATAGTTATAAATATACTGCCTTCATAAGTGAATACGCCTTAGGTCACCTGAGAACGATTTTGAGAAAACACGTTTTTGTGTTTTGTATTTTTATAAAATCATATACGATAACAACTTGTACATTGTAATTATTTAAATATGACATATGTTTTCCTATGTAATTTTACCCAACGGATGCAATGAAATAATAACAAATATGATTAAATTAATTTATAATAAGATATTTTACTTTTCACGTTGTACCTTAGTATTGGTATAAACTTTTGATACTTTATTCAAAAGTAAGAATGCCGTAACTCGTAAGTAACAATTTCTGATATGATAAAATTATTTATTAAAAATTTAACAATTATTACATTTGAACGTGGAAAGGATGCAATGTAAGCTATACTGCACTGTAGAAAAAAAATGAAATATCGAATAAGTTTATTACAAATAAATTGTTCCGATAGTTGACTTGCTTTGCGATAAGTAAACTGGCCCGTATTACTAAGCCAAAATGCCGTCAATTATAATTTGTAGTATGTACTAAGATAAAATGCCGTATCTTTAAAAATACTTACGGCGTTAGTGCTTAGTGTATTTGAGGCGTTGTTACCTAGTAACCACAAATTTAACGATTTACGGTGTTTTAGTTGTTTGATTATTGCTTATATTATACTTTTGGAGTAATATTTCAGACTTACGGCATATTCATCTGCACAAGCTAAATTTTACAATAATTTATTTATTTTTATCTCATTTCTATTTTTTTTTTTTTTTGGGACTTACGGCATTTTTGATTATGACGGCAGTATAAGTTTAAGTCAATATTTAACTTGCATTCCTTTCTATAAAAATATTATTATTCATCAAATCTTATTTATAAATTGTATATAATACAACTCATTTATGATGTACAAGGGAAATTAAATGGGCCTAATCACTTTTGTTATTTTAAATAGCAGATGAGTTTCAGAAATAATTTAAAAAAATATTTATGAAATATTTTGCAGCGAGGCACAATTTTATGTAATTGTTCAACTTAAAATTAAGTTTAGGCCCTAAACCTATATAATTTGTCTACTGCTTTTTTCAGATTTGTTTGGCATATTCTACCTCCGGAAAGAAATATGAAAAAATGGTTGTTGGTTCTTTTATTTATTCTTGAGCATAACATTATATTTTACATACTACTTACATGTTTTAGTAATGCTTCAGCATGCTGTCTTGTAATACTACCATGAAACCAAATTTCATCTTGTAATTTTGGTGCCATTACTGGCAGTGGTTCATGATCCACAAAAGGTTCTAAAATATTTTATTCGAACATACAAAAAAAAAAAATTAAATTTTTCAAATTACATTGATGATCTTATATATTTGTTTTTAAAAGTTTATCATGATAACACAACATACGCATATCAAATACATCACGAGGTTGTGAATTGTGGTTTTTATTTCCAACTACAAAATCATTAACATAGTTATGAACAGGATGTGGTACAGGTGGTGGAGGTGCTTCACAATTCAAATCTATTAAATTATTTGAAACTAGTCTTTCTAAAATTATAATTTGTTCAGTGTTATTAGTTACTTTAAAAAAATAATTAAAAATATAAATGTCTTTAACTAACCTCTATTACGATGATCATGGTATGAAGGAAGTGGTGGAACAGGTGGTGGACCAGTTTCTGGAGGAGACTTTCCTGGTAGATCATTATAATATTCTCGCTCATCTCGTGTGCTTGAGCTTAAAACTGGTGCAGGTTTTGTTAAAAATTGTTTAAAACGTAAATCAAAGGCTTGGCCAATAGTTGTAATAACATCTTGTGCTAATTCGCCTTCTCCACATTCCAGCACATAACATGCACGCCAGTCTTTTATGTCTTTTGCTACAAATGCAACAAAGTCTATTGTGTCCTAAAATAAACGAAATAAAAGAAAAAATATTTAATAAATATAAGATTGTTAAAATTGAATTATTCCTACAGCATCACCCCCCGATGCAAAAGATATCCTAGGCATATCATGTGTAGAAATGACTGCATGTGAATCCCTAATTTTTAATGTCAAACATGTGCTAGATATGGATAACGTAACATTTGATCCTGCATGATCCATAATTGAATGATCACCAATAAGTCTTAAAATTTTTTTATCCACCTATAAAATATAACATTTTTTAAATTTGTTTATTTTTTTTATACACTATGAGAAAAATTGTTATTTACTTTTCGTTTTTTGTCAGCAGTTTTTAACCCAGCTGCTTCACAAACTTTATTTATACATTCCCTAAGAAAAAATATTTGTCAATAAAAAATAATTATTTCAAAACTTTAAGAACTTATCAATTATTTTAATTTACTTGGCTACTAAAAATCGTGTATCAAAATCCAAACTTTTCATAGATGTCAGTACTTCCAAACAGCCAATATACTAAAAGTTAAAAAGAAAATATTTAAATTCTTTTAATTAATAAACAATCATAGAAAATGATAGAAAGTGTTAAATAAATAAAATCAATAATTCTTAAAATTTACTCGAACTTCGTAGCAAACACTACTTCTCGTAATAACATTGTCTGGATGTAACCAACCTCTTGCTGGTTTGTTCATGAAACTTCCCCATGAATCTGGCATTTTAACTAATACAAGTAACAACTGTACTTCTGAAATTGTTTATTAAGAAGATATAAATGTTGGTAACAAATTGTATACTATTTTAATCAATAATAAGCTTAAGTACAATAACTGAATTACTTACAAATGAAATATTTACTCGAAAAAGCTTAGGTACCAATTGTTTTCCATAATTACTTAAAAAGACTTTTACAATCGATGTAGTAACTATTTAAAAAATAAAAATGAAATGGAAACAATTTTTTATAAAACAAAGAAAATTATATTTAAAGTACGTAACTTTTCACGTGAGTGAAGTTAGCTATAGTTAAGCCATTGATAAGGATTAAAGAATTCCATGACATATCAGACATATTACCCAAGGCCGATTCGTATAATGAGTTGCCTATGGTATGCTCCTCGTCCAAGGTATAACTACTCATATAAATCCCCTAGATAGCGCTATATGACATAAACATGAAACAATAATATTATGTACTTTAATATTAATAAAATAATAAAATATAATATTATTTATAAATAATTAATGCTTTAATTAATGACTTTTTTTATTTTTCTATTGTAAAAAATACTATAATAATACATATTTATATAATATATATTATAATACCTAAGTGAGATCTAGCGAGATTATTCAAGTTCTAAATTATACAGTATATTATATAACCTTAGTTGTAATTAAATGAACACAAATCAAAATAGCAGAAAGTTTTTATACTTGACAATTTCTTAAAATGATCATATACGTGATAAAATGTCATGGTCATCAGCACTTCCTGCTTGTGAATTGTGATCGAATTCGTCTTAGTAAGTCAACCGACAACGTTTTGATTGTTGCCTTGGCATGCTTGCTCAGTTGCTCGGCGATTGGCTAAGCCGAATTTTCCTCATCATCAATCATCATCGTTAGTAAATACTTTTGTCTTTTTCAACATTCCTCTGACCAAGTCTCTTTCTATACCTCTGACATTGTTTATTAGTGCTTAATCGGGGTTGTGGTAGTACTGTAAGGTACTATAGCTAGTACTCCACACATTTATCGAAACTAAACTGTTTATTTAATTATTTTATGTTCTATAATAAGCTTAAAATGTTTGCATCCCAGGTGACTGCAGTACGTATGGTCGATGGATGAAAATATGAGCTTTTAGGATAGTTTGCCGACCTTAAGTTTGTAACACATGCGAGTTGTTCTTATTCGTTTCATACTTTCATCAACATAATCATTGATAGGTAATTTTATAGATACACGAATGTTGCCTTTTTTGTTAACATATTCAATAAGCGACGCTATACTTGTCTTGCTTCGTAAACATAAATAAATTAACCTTCTCATCTATACTATCTGCAGCCAGATAATCTTCTAATACTGTTTTCTTCACATCTACTTTTATCTGGATATTTATTTTCTGCCCCAGGGGGTATAACAACACCCGAATTAACTAGTGTTGTCTTCAATAAAGGTTCCTTTAACGGTGTTTCTACTTTAAGAGGACGTCTCACTCGCATGGCCGCATGTGTTCCCTCCGTTTTACAAATGTACAACATAGAAAAAACTGTTTTGCGCGGGAAAGAACAGAGAAAGCTAGTCTTAACTAATAACTAAGAGACGAAATTTTTACCACATAAAAAGGAGAACTTTGGTTATGCAATATCGATTTATTTTTTCGATATCGAAACTTCAAAACAAATTATTAAAGTTTGAAAAACACAAATAATAATGGATTTTGAAACAATAAGAACTTTTTTCCGTATGTGATATCAAAAAAATAAAAACGATATTGCAGTATTGCACAGCCAAAATTCTCCTTCTTAAGTGGTGAAAATTTCGTTTCTTAGTTACTGTAACCTTCTCAGTTCTTTCCTGCGCAAAACAGTTTTTGCTATGTTGTACATTTGTAAGACGGAGACAGCATAATATGCGGGTGCAACGTCCTCATTTTTCACATTACCAGGTGGCTAAGTCCTAAATGGTGGAGTATAGCATTGTAACTTTTATTTGGTATCGGTGACCGGTATACCTACCCACTGTTAACTTATTATTACTTTGTGTGTTAATTACAGTTTCAAAATTTGCTGATGTTATTGTTATAACAATAGTTGATAAATATAGAGTTAATTAACTTCAGATGTGTCTTATATACATAAGTATTATAACACCAGAAACCAAAAATGATAATTAGTACTAATAGTTATTTATCCATCGCTTACTCACTTACATAGTTGTATTTAAAAATTAAGTCTATTTACCATATACCTGATGTTGGTCGGAGTAACAATAAAAGTAACAAAAAAAAAACCATTAACTTTTAACATTCTTTAATCTTTGAAATAATTTTTTTTTTTAATCAATTCCAAAAAGGCGCTCTGCTGTGGGACACTGTATAATGGATAGTATTAAATTTGAATTCAATGATATAATATCATTGTATAAGAAAAACGATTCTGAGCGGAGACGGTATGTTAGTCGAGGTATAAGTAATATTATATATACATATCTATGGTATTAAAAAAAATTGACCTATAATAAATTCCAAATTAATCATATCACAATATCCATTGGGTACTTATAAGTTATAACGCGTAATTCATCAACAACAAACCCTGATACTATCATAGATATATAATAGTGTACTTTAGAAGTTTCAAGTACCCACGAGGCACGAATACACTCACAACAAAATAACTAAAATAGTCATTCTAGGTTTTTTAGGATTCGCCGTTTTCTTTCATTATCCGAATGAGTTTTCGAAGATCTGAGTTTTCACGTTTAAGACCATCGACAGTGTTTTTTTCAAATTGTAATTTAATATTTTTTTTACATCTACAATCTATACAGTTAATAGTATAATAATTGGATTTGATAAAGGAATATAAAATTAACAGTGAAATAATATGATTGGGAAGTTATCCATTGATAACACCCAGCACGTGATAATATATTAACTTAATATTAATATAAATATGAGTTGAAGACCTATAAGGTACAATAGTTAGTTTAACGTTTCTGGCGATTAAAAAAAAAAATTTAAATTAAATTAATTATGAGATAATAAAGGTAATGCACTACGTAACAGGCTGTTTATTTAGAACAGCTGTAAGGAGCGTGATGAGGGGAGAGATTAGAGAGGAAAGTTCAGATAAGAATTTTGTTAGTGGGTTATCGGTTGTGTGAACATTGGGTAATGGTATATTTTTAGAATTAGTAGCGGATGCGTAAGAAGTTTTGGGAGGGAGAGGGGGAGTTTGGAGATGAAAAGAAGTGAGTACCGGATTCGGATTCTGTTGTTTTGAATGAGTGGTTCTGCGTCGTTTGAGAAGAGATTTGTATATTTGACATCCTTTGTAGTTGGAGGTGTGATTGCCCATGCATAGGGAGCACTTAGCTGGGCTGGTTTTGGGTTTGATGCAGTCGACGGTGTGGTGGTCGCCCCCACATTTGACACACCGTGAAGGATGGTGACAATAGTTCGCAGTGTGACCATAGTTCTGGCAGTTACGGCACTGAGGTGGACCACTCTTGGTCCTGTATGGAAATTCGACTTTGATATATGTGTGCAAAATAGTAGACAAGTTTAGGATTTCTTTATTGTTGGTGTTGGGTTTTAACTCCACAAGAAAAAGTGGGCATGGGTGACCATTTTTTTTGACGTTTGTGACACGGCTGGTGTGGTGACCTAACTCCGAGAGTGCATCAGATATATCGGGGATGAGTGTAGTGTGGTGCAAGTTTCTGATAATGACCTTGTAGGGTCGACGTGGTGGAGGCATAAAAGTATGAAAAAAGGCACTGGTGTTCTTTAGATGGTTCATGATTAAGTTAAACATGATACGTCCGTGAGGACGAATAATCAAAAAGGAAGACGTGGACTTGCAAGAAAAACCGTTTTGGCCGGTGATTTGAACTAACGCGTTTTTAAATGCGGAGAAGTTGGTGATGTTTTGAACGTATATTGGCGGAGCTCTGTTGTTGACCTGGTTATGATGAAGTGTAGACTCGTTGGTTATATTAGAAATAACATTAGAGGTGTCGTGTTGGATTTCGATGTCCTCTTCGGTAGCTAGGACAGCGAATTTATTTGGCGAAACAAATGACTTAGTTTTTTTCCCCATTTGGATAGGTGAATTTGGAGAAGATGGCAGCGACCGTTTGGATATAAAAATGTTCGGAGAGGTAGTGTTATTCATATTGGAATGAAAACGTGTTCAACGGAGTGAAACCCGAGAACTGTTAACTGTTTACATACTGAGACGCGATAACGGAGCGAATATAACCGTACAACGTGCGGTCGCGTTGCAGGTCAACAGCGAACTGAATTTAATATTTTAAAGATCGTTTTTCAAATATATGTTACACACTTGTGCGGTGTAGAACTGACTTAATTGAAGTTGAATTCGGAATTTCGGAATACTCAATACAAACATATACTGATAGCTATAATACATACTATGAAGTATGATTGTACTTATACCATTGATTATAAATAAAAGTATTTATAGTCAATGCTTATAATACATAGGTAAAATATTAATAAATATAATAAAAAAAAATTTTGAATTTTGCGGGACATAAAAAGACCATGTGTATGTAGGTATAAGACAAGTGTATAAGGTATAACATTATTTAAAGTTAAAAAAAAAGGTCTTCACGCTTAATTACATACGATTTTGTGTATACATTGATTAAATATACTTATAATTATTTAAGCAATGGTTTGTTTAAAATTTATTAAAATATACTATTATCATACCTGGGCATGGTGGAACGACGACGAAGAGTGAAGACTGACGACGTTTGTATTGTTCCGAACAACTTGTTCGGGCTAGCGTATATTTTATACTTTGCGAAATATGCGTCTACGTCAACCCGGATAGCAGATTGCCCGTGGAAATAAATATATATTTTAATTTTTAAGTCTAAAACGCGCATGATCAAGTTACCGGATCGGCGTTGGCGCGTGAACGGTAAACAATTTATGCTCAATTGCATATTTGTACTTATGCACTTTTGTTCCATCCTACTGTTCGACCTAATAATGCGATAATATTCCAGGAAATTGATCTGAATTCACTAGTGTCTACTTGAGATCGGCCAGTCCACATTTTAAGTTTTCTGATTTAAATTCCGAATAATCAACGTTTGAAATTTCAGAAATTTCAAAATATTCAAATTAAATTTATAGTTGTTGGGAGGGTGAAATTGTGAAATGTGGACTGACCGATCTCAAGTAGATATAATAGCGAAGCCAAATCAGTTTTAAAAACTATTATCGCATTACTAGGTCGATCAGTATGGTGGAAGAAAGATTGGTATGTTTCGGCTACAGGCTACCTAATATAAGGGGAGTCGGAAAAAAAGTCCGACCAGAAAATGTATTATTATTTATTATACGGAAAAAAAGTCCGATTTGATTTATTGTTTCATAAGAAAATGTCTTATACTATTATCTTAGTTCATGCTGGGACTAATTGTGTAGGCAACCCATTGTACACATTCTTTAAGAATGATTCTTATCAATGGCTAGGCCAATTGCTAACTTCATAAGAACATTTTAAGTTATAATTTGTTTAAAGTTACTAACTACAACTACTAAATCACTCTGAGTACTAAATACATAATAATTTTGTCAACATCTGGAACAATATTTAGTGGAAAGGGTAATTTCGTTCCAATGAGTAATAATGTAATATTAATTTGACTATGTTAAATGTTGCATTCATAACCAGAGATATAAAAACATGTTTATATAAATTCTGTGTTTACAATTTTCTTATCATAGTGCTAAAAAGTGATATCAATAAATAATTTATTCCGTATTTCTGTAATTTTGTGGACTGTGAGTTGAGCCACAACTTGTGACTGAACAACTGAATACCGATTATGAAATATATATTTTAAATTATAATAATATGAAATACGAAGCAAAGTTATACAGTTACAGTAAAATATTTTATTTTATTAAAGTCTTGAACATTGTATATTTTTTTTAGTTCATGACATTGTACAGCGTACTTATAAGTAGGTATTATGTCCATCAAAAATAACTACCTAGTACCTACCTACTAACTAAACTTACTATGTAATAAGTTCCAGAATCTACATTCAACAATATCTTGCATCTACTTTGTTTTATCAGGAAGTGAATCAAAAATGTTTTCAATCAAAAATCTTTTTACAGAACTTTGTATTAAGTCATTAAGTTCAGCTAATACGAATCATTATTTTAAAACATTAAATCAAATTAAAAAACATTCAACATTTCATAAATGGACATTAGATTATTTCAGAAACCAACCACCTTATAATAAGTTTGTATTAAAAGAATCTTCAACTGAAGACAAAAAATCTCTTTATAGCCCTATTAATTTAAATACAACTGCTACTGACAAATTACTTATGAACTATTTTTCATTAAAAAATGTTTCCCACTATGAAATTGATAAAGAACTAGCAAATCGGGTAAATGATATGTCAATCAATCAGATACTTGCATTAATGGATGCCTGTTTATCTGGAAAAACCCAGTTCCACAAAAACTCAAGATCATTTAAAAAATGTATTGAATTAATGAATGAATTATGGTTTCGAAGACCTGACTTAACTACTTCACAAACTATACAGTTGATTTATTATGTCAGTATATACAAAAATAAGACAAAACAAGTAGTTGAGTTTGGATTACAGAAATTAATGAATGAAATTGATTTTTTGAAAAAATTAACTGATGAAGAATTAAGTGTTATAGCTGTAGCAACATACAAAACTAGTGCTAAAGTCTATGATAAAATGCTGAGAATATTTGCCTACAGAGTTGAAAGAAACTTAGATAATCTAATACAAAACCCTTTAAATTTTGTGTCTATAATTAAACCACTGAAAAGAGCAAAGTATCATGACCCTGTATTGTTAACCCAACTGATAAAAGCTTTTAGTAGTAACAAAAATAACAAAGTCTTGGAAGATGTGACTAGTAGCATTCATCTCCTTACATACTTTGCAGATGCAAATTGTGGGGAAGTAGACTTTTTGCAACAATTGATTGATTCTATTGGAAATATTATGGTAAGCTAGACTTATTTAAGCATTATTGTTTTTATTTACTTACCTTAGAATCATTTCTTTGTTTTCAGATTAAAGATCATTTAAAACATTACCGAATCAAAGATGTTTCTAACTATGTTTTTTCAGCCAGTTACTTAGGTCTAACTCCAAAGAATCCTAATGTGTGTAAAATGATTATTAATTTCTTAGAGGACATTTTTAACTCTAAAGAAAAATGTGAAAAAATGTCCAAAACATTAATAGGAATGTGTTTATCAATGTGGATGTTGAATTATAAACCAATACAGTTAATGCAGTTTATGTTTTTTGAAGTACCTGTTGCAGCTTTAAGAAGTAAAATATAATTCAATAGTACCGGTTTTAAATGATTTAATGTTGCTTATTTATTTATTTTTATTTTTATTTTATAAAGTGCCTAATGCTCACAAACAAGATAATAGACTCAATCTTTTGTTAACATGTGCTCATATTGAACAGCCCGATTTAATAATGGGATATCAATTAATTGATGAACAAACCACTAACTCCATGCCTGATCCTTACAAACATTTAGAGGAACGTCCATTCTTGGTAATGGTGTATCAATCCCTGCAAAAATTATATCATGAATTGGATATAATAAATGTAGAATATAATTTTAGTATACCTTACTTGAGAATATTAGGAATAAAAATTATTAGAACAAATGGGTAGGTAAATGTTATATAATGACTTATTTGTTAGATCTTAGATTTATTATAGTTAATGTAATTATTGTAAGCACTATAATTTATAATTAATGTTTATATCTATTTCTTTATAAATATTAACATGAAATTTTTAAAATCAGCGCCAGTAGAAAAATGTATAAATAAATTTTTTTTAAACAGGTAATACTGCTCCTACAATTGCTCTGATGGGAACTTTTATGTTTTACCGAACACCCTTTTTTTTATACAGTTAAGAATGCTGAGAACTAGGATGAAGTAAGAATTAGGTGATTGGAATAAGTTTTAATGTTATGGTTAATTTGAATTTATAGTATTTTAATATACACCCGCCGTAGTTACTCGCTCGCTTTGCTTACTCCGACAATTAAAATCAAAAACATCCCACAAATATTTTATTTCACGTAGCTTAGACAGGTTGCAGTGGATAGTGTAGCAGTGAAAGATTTAGCTACATAATATGTTAAACAAAAAAAAAAGGTTGTCCGGTAAAACAGAAATATACCGGCTAATTTGTCACATTAATATATTTTAATAACTTATACCTACAAACACTAATCACCATAAATTATGTACTTTAAAAAGACACATATTTAAAACTGACACTATTTACTATTTACATATAAAATAAAAATAATAGATACTATTATATGTTTACTTTTCAGCGAAATCATTTATGTAGAAGTTTTGGACAGCAGTAATTGTCTTTATGGTACATTAATACCAAATGGTATGATGAAACTCAAATTTCGCCTTGAGTCAAAGTTAAATTTTTTTGTTATTAAAGTAAGAATAGTAATTTTTAAATTTTTTTATTAAAATTACATAATACCTTTTAATAATGTTTCATCTAGGTGAACCATAATGAAAATACATTGCAGAATCCAATAGCATTGAAACGTCACTTAGAATCATTACTATCCAACAAATAATAAACTTTTAAAATATTGAAATGTAAGATTTAGTTATTTTTCTGAATTGGCTAGTCAAATAAATTTATAAAGTAAACAGGCAATAAGTAATTATAAATGAAAAATTACCTCTATGTAAATTCTGCTATAATTTCTGCCTATTCATTAACTAATTACTGACTGTTGTGAATTTTATATTAAAAAATAAACTTGTTCCAATTAAATAATAAATAGGTACTTTATTTCCTTTTGATTTTATTAACTGACTTAAAACTTTAAATATAATTATAACACCTAACCTGGTTAACCTTAACGTAACCTTTTACCTCACCGTCAATTCAATTATTTAAAATGTACAAAAATAAATAAAACATATATATATTTATTTGTACATAAACAATTTTAAAATAGGTATACATTTCGGAACAATTGCACTTTACCCCATCCCATGCAATTTTTTTTTTCTTTTTGGAACTTACTCATATTAACTATTTCAGAACAATCGTGCAATTATAATTTGTCAGTCGGACTTAGTTATGGCCTAATGAAGTTCATTATTTTGCGATTTTTAAGCATTCACACATCACTTTAGTTTACTGCACCTTTTAAGAATATTGATATCTTTTTTTTTGAAACTTATGTACTAGGTACAACGAGGTAAGAACGATTGTACAATCTAATATATATTTAAAAGCTGGACTTTTTTATGAAGTTATATACAAAGGTAGTTTTAGAGTTGTCTCTTAATTATCCTTATGCTATACTAATCTATTATAACCCAAATATAAACACCCAGGGCTAAAATTGTGGGCGGACGGATGACCTAACAAATAAATTTAACCTTGTTAGTAAAAGTAACACAAGTATGATGACTCCAGTCGCCAAACTTAAGGGACCTCCCTCTGCCTGCAGGCTCTGGTTACCAGACTCGATGGCCACTTAGAGTAATATAAGTATATGTAGTTCCCTTCGCCTACCGGCTCCGGTCGTCAGACTCTCGAGGTCCTGTGGACCTCTAAGTGGATGGGGGCTCGGCCCCCAAACCCCCCGGTCTGAAATGATTGTGCTTTAAGTAACAACGACAACCTAGGTTTAAAAATAAGTAATAGGTACTCTTTAATAATTTCATTAATATATATCAAGAATAAAAAAAAAAATTGCGAGACGTGATAACGTGGAGTTGCTCGATGCATAAAAAAAACACAAAATTGCGGCCTTCCAAAGGCTATAACTTCGAAACTAAGTCTGACCGACAAATTCTGATTGCACCATTGTTCTTAAAAAGTGAACATAAGTAAGTTCCAAATAAAAAAATCGGAAAATTTGCATAGGGTGGTAAAGTGCACTTTAGCCTACATTTCTATCTTCTGTTATAATTATATTATAGTTATTTATAACCTATAGGTGAGTATTCTCTATATTTTTATTTTTTGTAATATTGTTTTATACTTTTTTTTCTGTTTTGAGTGTTGTCAACTTGACGTCTTGAGTCTTAACCGTTGTAACGTTGCAAGTTAATCGTCTATTCGTCTCGCAAGTCGTAACTCGTAAAGTCGTAAACGTTAACGTCTTCAGACTTCAGTCTTGTAAAATATAAATACAAATTATAGTATTATAGTATTATACAATTTTGGATAATGAAATATGGATAATACCTATGATAATTAATATTAATTATAATTACCTTGATTATATTATTATACCATAGAACTTCATATTATTTTAAACATAGACATAATATCATAGAATAATATATACATCTATATTATGTCTATGTTTTAAATTTTATTATTCGTTTATCTGTTTATTATATGATTATTTTAAATTTTATTATTCGTTTATCTGTTTATTATATGATTATGATTCAATGAAAAACTGATAAGAATACAGAAACAAAATCAAACACTCCTATTGGTTGTTTGACAGATTAAAGATAGCGGAGGTCTTATATTTTTAATTTTTGATTAACTTATTGACCGTTACGATTTTCAGACAGCATCTAGTATCTACGAATTCCGATGCACATTTTTATTTTCTTGGCTTCTTAGTTCTTACTCCTTACGGTTTGTACCAAAAGTGATTTATAACTATTATTTGCAATACAATATTATTTAGTATTTATTAGTGTTAGGTTCCTCTACATTATTCAAATAGGCACATCATCAAAACTAGAAATTACAGTAGGCGGTAACAATAATTTATTAAGTTAGTTGATTTATCATGTATAGGTATACTATTATATTATATAAGTAACATTAATTTTTCAAACTAACATTTAATTTTTCTCAGGTAATATGTCTCAAACGTTTTTAAATAGTTTTAACATACTTGAAGAGTATGAAAATGTACATGCTAAATGGTGTGCTGAATTAATAGCAAATGGACGACAAACACTGCAATCAATATGTAATACTATTGATATAGATTTACTAAAAAAATTGATGGACAGTTTTATGAAATTTGTTTCATTACTTGCTCAATGTCATCCTAATTCATTATCAGATGAAAAAATCTCATATAAACCAAGTGATGTATGTATATTAGTTGATAAATTATATTGAACTAGTATTTTGTTTTATCTACTTATATAATACAATTTTCAGCTAACTTCAAACCAACAAAATGAAAGCCAAGATTTATTACCAAAGAATGATATTATTAAGATGATGAATAGTGATCTCCAATGTCCAATTTGTAACGAATGGCTATTTAAAGTAATTTTGTTTTAATTTTTTATTATAATTTAAAAACTTAATTTTGTAACAACAATTGGGATACTGTAAGGTAGAAAAATACAGTTTTGGTTGTTCATTATGTTACCTACATAATTAACAGTTAACATTTATAGTTGTAATGTTCGTTCTAATACCAAATCTAACAATATCAATTCAAATATACTATGCTGTGCGTAGGTCAGAGAGAGGAAACAAATATTGTGCCCCTTAATAAACTAATAAAATACTAGTTGAATTACTCGTCACTGCTGGCTTATAAATTTATAATAAAAAAAAAAAAAAAGATTTTTGAATAATTATATAATATATAAATAAATATAAAAATATATAATATATTTTTATGATAATGCACCATTAATGTTAAGGAAAAACATATTAACGTATTAACGTATTAACATTTATAAATATATGCAAGACATTTCCGTACAAGAAAACTGCAATTATTTCACCAAAAACAAAAATAAATTGATAAAAAAAATTAAAATTTCAATGAACTTGTCTATTCTTATTTATTACTGTAGAATTTCTTTATAAACTATATGCATTGTATGTTTTTTGTTGTTTGGTATTATTCGTAATTTAAATTTTTCAAAAGATCTAATTCTGGACATGGCAACATAATGTTGACCATGTCTAAATACAGTTTGGGGTAAAGGTAAATACTACACTACTTTATCCAATGTTTGACCCTGTGCTTTGTTTATTGTCATAGCAAAATTCTTATAGGAAATTGATGTCTAATAAATGAAAAGGAAAGAGTAGAATCTGACTGGGTCAAATACTCAAATCAATTTTAGGCAATAAAATTTGTTGGCGAGTTCCTCGACCAGTATTGGTTTCTAAGTCTAAAGAACGGTCGAACATATTTTGTATGACAAATCTTGTACCATTCATTAGATTGGACACTACATTTAAATTACTCAGTAGTATTATGATTGTTTGTTCTTTCAGTTCCGAATTGGGAGGAGGTAAATTACTTAAATGTAAACTGTCTAAAAATTCTGTAGGAAATAGAAAATGGTCACAGTGGTTTGACACTGAGTTCAAACTTAAAAACTTTTTCTCTTGTCTTGCCAATATACTAACAATTGCATTATTTATTTCATCACAGTGATCATTTTTAGGTGCAAGAATAGCAAATTATGAAAAAATAGATAACATAAAATTAAAAACAATATTTTCAAATGAGTCTTTTATTATATCACTGGATAGTGGATAATAATGATTGTCTGTTTTGATTAAATATTTGTTTGTGTCAAGATTTATTAGTGGGTATTCGCCACACAAAATAATATTGGAAATAGTGTTTTTACTATGGGTTGTTATTAGAAAATGCCGCAGGCGTCCACTACTACGACACAGCAGTACTGCTGTAGGCATAGGACTAATAGGGGTTATAAAGGTGTGTGTGTGTGTGTGTGTGTGTGCTCATGGAAAGCAACCCGTGTCTCTATGCAATCACACAAAAAACTAAATGTTTCCAAAAACTATTTGGACATATTTTCAAACGGAAAATCATTAGATGACTCTTCTGCCCAATGAGTACTTGCGTTTGAAAAAAAATCATGAAAATCGGTTCAGTAGAACTTCAGATATAGCTGTCCAAAGAAATTGTCTTGTATTTTAATAATATTGTATAATGATAATTTAAATTATTTTAGGCAACTTCTGCAAATTGCAATCATACATTTTGTGAAACATGCATAAACAAATGGTTAAAAATAAATAAAACATGTCCAGTTTGCCGTACATCTATTCAATATACTTCAACTTCTATAGCAGTAGACAATTTTATCACAAATTTGTGTCACTTATTTGGCGGTTTTACAAAGGAACGGCGAGAATCAATAATGAATGCTTATATAGGTATAATATAGTTATTATTTATGTATTATATTTGTGTATTTATTATATAGGTATTTTATTTTTATTTCAGATGATACGAAAAAAAAAACCAATGCTGATATTACACTTAATGAACTCACTATTGATCCCATTATTGGTTTAAATATTAATCAGTCAATTGAAGAAGATACATTTATTATCCAAAACGACACTACTTTAACAATGTTACATCCCAATGAGGCCCGTTTAATACCTTGTCCTCCAACACCTATATCTAGAGAGAATTCAAGACAACCAATATTTAGCTCAAATATACCTCATCCTAACACAGTTCGACTATTACCTTTTCCTCAATCATCTGTAGCTTCTATAACTAGCCCACGTTCTAATCGCCTTCAACCAACATTTTCGACAAATGTGATCGGCTCACATTTTAATCGTTTTCAGCCCACTACTTCAACATCTGTAATTAGTCCACGTGTTAATCGTTTTCAACCAATTTCTCCAGTATCTGTGGTCAGTCCGCATATTAATCGTATTCATTCAACAACATCAACATCTGTTGCCAACTCAAATATTTATCGCCTTAGAACTAATACAAATATAGGCGGTTTACCATCCCATCAGACAAATCCTCCATTAAGAACACAAAATATCAGATATTATTAAAAATAACCTTAAATATTCATAAGCAAGTAGTCCAGATCATAAGTAGAAACCAAATTTATATTATCTTTTTAAACAATCATTAATCTATTAAAAAAAAAATTATTAAGTACGGATGGATTGTAGTTTCAAATTATTGTGGAAATTGTAATACATAATAAATATAAATATATATTTTTTTTATTAACTTTAAATTGTTTAATTTGTGTATAACTCAATTTTTTTATTATTATTAAATATGTTGAGATAAAACGATGATCCATTGATCCCCTTACTTAGTTAGGAATCTTTCCTTGAATTGCTTTCACAGATCTGATTATTGTGTTAAGTGACAATTCTTTGTCATCATATTTTTCTCAATTAAGTATAATAATATATTGCAACATAACAAATATTTATGTGACATTTATTTTTAAGTTAATTTTGGTAAAACAATTATAATAAAAGTATTTTGAATAATAAATTCTGTACCACAGATGTCAAGTAATGATAGTCAATTTTTTGAAATATTTAGTTAGTTCTATAATCATAGTATAATTTTTGTGATCTTTATGAAGGTATTAAAATGTAAGTCCAACTTACAATAAATTCATAGATAGTAAGAGGTATACATAAGACTAAACCATATTGGGAGTATTCAAACGTATTTCCAGTGTGATGCATTAGAATAGACAATATTAATACAAAATAATATCATTAAACTATTAAAGTATACAATCATAAGTCCATTTGCTACAATACATTTTGTTGTGTCTCCTGTAAAATTAGATTTTTGTGACTTGGTGTTACTTGACTGACTTCTGTGGTACAGAATTTATTTCGACTTATTATATTTTCAAAATATTTTATATTATTTTGAGGAAAAATTGTTCTCTTATATTAAATAAGTAAACAGGTAGCTCATTAAATATATTCCTTTTTATTCTTCTTAGGTATAATGATATTGTCCTGGTGCTTAGATTATTGTTCACTTTAGATTCTGAGCGAAGCAAAAGAATGTACCTATTGATTCTACAATATGTTTTTTTCACTGTCAGCAACATTTTGGACATTATTGAAAAAATTAATTTTGTTTTTTTGGTTTAACTCAAAAATGAATACCTTAATAAACCTTAGTAAACCTTTGAAATTTTCACCAAATATTTATATTAGCATTTTCAATGAATGGTAAGAATTTCGAAATATTTTGACTCTTTTTGAGCTATTTATAGCCTTGAAAATGTTTAGAAATTCGTAAAATACAATTTAAATTATTCTCCATAAAAACTTTTTTACTCGGTAAAAAAGCTTGAAAATGTAATACAAGGTTCCTTATAAGTTTAAAATAAAATTCAAAAATGTTCAAGGTACATAGGCTCGATTACTTTTATATGAATTTAAACTTTGTCAAAATGTCAGTAGTGGAAAAAAAATAAGCCCTGGATCCGCCACTGCAAAATGTCGTTTTCAGTTAGAAATTCATAAAAGTTTTTCCTTACATAACTAACATTAGAGATTTTAATGGAAGACTGCCCACAAATGTTCTTACCTTAAAAAAAAAAAGGTGCTCTGCTGTACAGTAGGTTACAAGTGGGTCTCTGTATAATGGATGGTATTAAATTTGAATTCAATGATATAATATCATTGTATGTCGTATGAGAAAAACGATTCTGGAGGAGACGGTATGTCAGTCTCGTAGACCTTATAACCTTATTGTTCTGTGGTGGTATGGTGGAAACGATCCTCCTATAAATATTAAATAGGTAACCCTTGGTACTTGGTTCTAACCATGGACTAAGATAGTATTATCTATAGTCCTAACTTCTAACCTAAAATGCAAGACATAAACATCTAGAATTTTAAATTTATCGATAGAAGAGACAAGAGTGAACTGAGTGAAGACAACTAATGTCTAAAGTATGTAAATGCTTTGAATTATTTTGATTTTTGACAAATTCTATTGATTTTTAAATTGTGAGTTGTGAGTTTTATGGTTCACCAGTATTTGAAATGTAAGTACTTTGTATACGCAAATTATTATTTCTACGTTTGTATGATGATGTTAAAACGGTTTTGGATCCACAGATACTTTATTACAGATACTTGTATTTTTACTTGTAAACCACAGATATATTATACTATTATTATTATATATATCTGTGTTGTAAATAGAATAATGCTGTTACTAAAAACTAAGAAATCGAGTATCCGTGGATTTAAAATCATTACAACGTCATATAAATGATAGCATTGTTAGGTATTATTATGACAATTTCTTCATTTTTAACCACAGATTTGTTTTTTTTTATCTGTTTTTAATAGAAAAATATGTTATTGTATTATTGTTATCTGACAGTTTTTCATTATTTTATTTTATATCACCAGCTCAAATATACTAATAATGGATGATTTCGGTGACGATTTATTTGATGATTTTGAAAAACCATCTGCCAATTCTTTTTCTGCTGGTGTACAGAAAGCCAATGATGACAAACCCAATGCTGACGATAAGTACGAACCTTGTTATTAACCTAGTCATAGTTTGTTTTGTGTTTTTAAACCTATGGACTCTCATATTTGACAGTTAAATCAAAATAAAATTATTAAAAATACTTTTTAATTTAATTGGCATATTATTGTGTTTTTGCTAATAGTATTATAAATTATACTATTATGAATTGTCACAGTTAACGTTCTTGATCGTCATTCTACTTAGCATAAAAATCACAAATAACATTGAACTTGCTACTTATATATAATAGTAAATAAAAAAAGAAAAAAATATCTTGATATTTAGGTACTGATTTAATAGTTTGTTTTATAGAATAAATGAAGTTACTTGTTAGTATATATTAGAAATCTAAGGTATATGTATTAATAGGTATAATAAATGGTGTTATATTCATTTTGTTTTTAATTTAAATAATTAAACAAAAAGTACTTCTATTGTACTTAAGTTTGAAATGTATCTATAATATTTGCCTTGCCTACGGGCAGTTAGAGAGAGAAATATTATAGTTATACTACTCAACCTATCAAAACTTGTTCATGTAGTTTAATTTTTGCCAGTATTTACATTTTTTCTGTTTGATTAGCACCATAAAACGATCATTACAACTATCTGATGATGAAGATGATAATTCAAAAAAGACAAAAAATCCAGATGAAATATCAGCTTTAGAGTAAGTTATAATGTAAATTAATAATATTAAGACAAAATTATTATCTATTATTATTAAGATAGTTTATATAAAAACAATATATTTTTCATTTTAACATATTTATTTAAATTATTAAAGTGAGTTTCATTCCACAATGTATTCTTTTATAATTATTATGGAGATTTTTCACCCATATATTAATAAATTCTCAAACCTTTTCTGAGTTTAGCGATACCTAAATATATATTTATTTTATATGGTATCGGAAAGCTGGGGTGGTATAGATTTTAAGTATTTGTTTATCAGTCTATGTACTGTACCTACCTATTCACATATTTTGCCTACAGTGACCATAATTTTTTTTACCTTCAAATATTAAAACTTAAAAGAAAGGAAGTATGTTCTGCTGTACAATATGAGTTGAGTAAAATCAATACATACATTCAGAATCTAAAAAGTATAAAACAATATAGATACTACGTAGGTATTGGACATTATTCTTACTTTGTTTATCTCACTGGTAGAGTGGTATAATATTATTATTAACTTGGAGCTTGGAATGATAAATCAATAATCAATACAAAATTTAAAAAAAAAAACTTAATTTCAAAACCAAAATTATTATTTTAACATTGGAAATATAAGTAATATAAAATATTAATATTGTGTATATAATATTAAGTTATTTTTTTTTGATTTATAGTTGACAGTGACAAGCACATAAATCTGTGAAAACCAAACTATAATCCTAATATTATAAACATACTTAGTAAACCGAGAAAAAGTATGCATTAAATTAAAAAAAGAATATTTTTAACAAAATTAAGAAGATCCTAGTAATATTTAGAATTGAAATTATTTTATTTGGTATACAAGATAATTGAACAATTTATTTATAATATATTGTTAAAATTATCTCTAAATGATTTTAAAAATGTTCCATTTACAAAGTATGATGTTTTTAACAAAGATTTTGTAGTTTTCCGTTTTGATGGTATGAATTCTAAACATTTTGATACTATTTCTATTAAATCAATCGGCCATTGAGGGAAGTTGTTAATTAATGCCATACTAACATTTTTTAATGTACTATTTCTGATATACTTTATTGAAACAACTTTATTAATTTTCTTTATTTTCCTATTTAAATACTTTTGATCTTTGATTGATATCCCAAAATATTTAACAATTGATTGATATTGTTCAATAGATGTCTCTTGAGTTATGATCGGATGGCCACTTGTACATTCTATAAATACTATACCTAATTGTTCATAAATACTAATTAGTGTTAAAATATAATATAGAGTTATAGTTATATTTTACCTAAAGACCAAATATCAATTTCAGGACCATATTTTTGGGTTCCTAGTAACATTTCTGGTGCTTTATACCATATAGTACCCATATCTGGTGTCATAATTGGTTCTGCCTTAAATGACAGTGCACATAACATTTTTGAAATACCCAAATCACAAATTTTTACTAAACCATTTTTCGTAATCAGTATATTTTCTGGTTTAATATCTCTGTGTACAACATAATTTCTGTGCATGTAATCAATACCATCGATTATCTAAAAACTAACTTTTAATTTTGCTATATTTTTAACAGCTAAAATTCTCACTTGTATCATAAATTCTTTTGTTAAATCATATCCCAGACCATTTGGATGATATTTATTAATGTACTGACACATATTATAATCCATGTATGGAAATACAATGTACAAACAACTTTTTATACGGAAAATATTTAAAAGTCTTATCACATTTATGTGTTTGTTAAGTATTTTAAGTATCATAAATTCACGTAATACTTCAGGCATATAGAAATAGGAATCTGTTATTTTCTTTATTGCAACAACTTCATTTGTTAGCTGATCCTTGCATTTCATCACAATACCATATGATCCTTGGCCTATTACTTCAATGGGCTTATATCTATTATTATGTAAATTAACAATTTTACTACTCATAATAACAATTCATAAGAATGTATATTGAAATTATAAACTAAATATACCTATCATTTAAGAACGTTTATTTATTAGTTACTTGGATTTATTTTATTTGATTAAATTGTCATAGTTATTATTTAATTGTAACAATAATAGTATTTATTTTATCGATAATATTTTTGGTATTTTTGACCATATTTCAAGTAGGTATAATTAAGTGAATAATATTAATTTATTAGTATGTACTTTTATTTTATCTTATAAGATTGATATGCATATTTTTATTCATAATAGGGGGTATATTATTTATAGCCATTTAGGTAGTTATTATAAAGTATAAACCAATAGGTATCGTGGGAAAATTTAGATTCTAAAACCTTTTATATAATGTATACATAAAGAAGTGGTTTTTTTTTTTTGAGATCTTCCTAACTTATTCAGTAGAATTTACATAAATCCTATAGAGGTATTATTTAATTTTGATGTTATAATTGATCGTTATAATAATAATATTAATTAATATAATCTACAAAAACATATATTAAAAAATATGCGGACTATCTAATAATAATAATAAACAAAATAGTTAATATATATGATTTATTTTAAATTTTCATCAATGTAATTTTAATTATTTCAGTCTTGAGGTGTCAGCTCCCAGAATAAAAATATTTGCTGTAGAATCCCTTGATGGAGAATCATGTACACACGAAATTGCTCTTCCATTAAATTTTGATTATATACCATTAAATAGAGATGCCAATAGAAAACCAGCCAAAGTATATGAATTCGATTTAGATCCTTTTCAGAAAGAAGCTATTGTTTGTATTGAAAATAATCAATCTGTTCTTGTATCAGCTCATACATCTGCTGGTAAAACTGTAGTTGCCGAGTAAGTTCATATTATTATTTATAATTAAAATATTGATAATAAAGTATTTAACTTCCTAATTTATATTTTAATTTGTATAGATACAGTATAGCTTTATCTCTAAGAGAATCAAAACGTGTAATTTATACCACACCTATAAAAGCATTAAGTAATCAAAAATATCGAGAATTTCACGAAGAGTTTGTTGACGTTGGTCTTATCACGGGCGATGTTACTATTAATCCATCAGCTAGTTGTCTTATCATGACAACAGAAGTAAATAGTTTTTATTTTACTATTCAATTAGAGTGTTCTACAATAGTTAAACATTTTTAAGTGGTTGAATTTTTCAATGGTATATCCATCACTAGAAAATACTTAACCTGTGTGAGACACTATATCTATAGAGAATAAGATAACATTTTTATCCTACATAAATAAATTATTCATATTTCAAGTTTAATTATAACTTATTAGCACTTATGTTGTACAGTTATTAGTTATTTTACTAATTCATATTCAAATGTAAGTATTTTATAATTTGAAAAAAGTATCAAATTTGTTTTTACTTAAATGCTATTAAAATTATTTTGGTTAAGTTGAACATTCTATATAAAATTCTATACTATTGAATGGAGCTCTTTAACTTTTTATTTATCGACCTTTTTCAAATATAGAATATATCCCCATCAATAAAATAAATTCTCTCTAACACATCTCTTTTTAGTTATTTGTTATTAATTATTGTTATTAATTACTGGGAGTATATGATATTAAAACTATATCTAACTTAAGCAAAAATTATAAATGTGTAAATATTTTAAAAATAAGTACAATTTAAAAAGTTAAAGATCACTGTTTTATAAAATACTTAATAAAATATAATATAACTTAATATGTATTTTAAATTACTCTTTCTTTAAAAACTAGATTCTTCGTTCTATGTTGTATCGTGGTTCAGAGATCTTAAAAGAAGTAGGATGGGTAATATTTGATGAAATTCATTACATGCGTGACAAAGAACGTGGTTATGTTTGGGAAGAGACTTTAATATTATTGCCAGACAATGTGCGCTTGGTCTTTTTGTCTGCTACTATACCTAATGCTAGACAGTTTGCAGAATGGGTAGCTCATTTGCACAATCAACCGTGCCATGTAGTGTATACTGAATATAGACCTACGCCATTACAACATTACTTATATCCTGCTGGTGGTGAAGGTTTACATCTTATAGTAGATGAAAATGTAAGTTTGTTGTATCATATTTCTAATATAAATTTTGATTCCTTATCTTAAATTATTTCAGAACAAATTTCGAGAAGAAAATTTTGCAGCAGCTATGAATGTTTTATCTAATGTTACTCAACCAGTTAAACATTGGGGACAGCCAAATCGACCCACAGCTAACAATCCAGATAATGAATCAAATTGCTTCAAGTTAGTTAAAATGATCATGGAACGAAATTTTGCTCCAGTAATTGTATTTTCATTCAGTAAAAAGGATTGTGAAAATTATGCCATGCAAATGTCTAAATTAGATTTCACTTCAGGTGATTATAATAATTGTTTCAAAGTTTATTTAGTTTGTTTTTTATTGTTTGTTTTATAACTATCTTATATTATTTTATTACAAATCTGTAGTTGAATTCAAAGTATAAATTTAGTTTAAGGATATAGTTAGTACTTTTTTAAAATGTATTTACCAATCAATAAATTACAAAGTTATAAATTCTATCTTCATACTAGGTACAACATGATACATTTTGTTTATGTACCTATACTCTATTCAGGACAAAAGTATACCGTACGGCTGATGAAAACTGTACATCCCCACTTATACCACTCACACCGATGTGTGATCAACGTTCATCATCTATGATTGCCGAAAATTAATTTTCAATGACTAAGCAGTCTACTAGTTGCCTAAGTGTCATGGTTTGACGTCTTAGTCTGCATGCTCAAGACCGGTATACTCTTAACCTGAATAGAGTATATTATAAGAAATATTTATATTAAAATGAATTCAATCACTTTTATAAATACAGGTGATAAATCTGATTCTAGTCCAAAATATCTAAATTGGAAAAAATATAATTATTTTTTATATAAATACTAAATAGTATATAAATATAATAACTTATAATATACTGTAATTGGAATATCCTAATAGTAAATAGATTACACTTTTTAAATAAAATTACGTATTTACTGCAATTTAGTAAATTTGGGATATCCCTACTACCATCATTGTATTCTTCACAGAGATATTTTAATTTATTTTTTCTACTACTGTTTTTGTTTTAAAGTGGTCCAATGTTATGCAATTCATGTTGTGCTATTTTTTCTCATCAGCTGCATTTTGCAAATTGTCCAAATTTTTAATTAGCCTAAATCAAATTTGATTGAATTATTGAATTTTTAATAATAATAAGTACTAACTAAGTTTGAAAATGAATTGTTCCCTCAAAATCATAATATGCAATAAAAAACACATATTATCATGAAACACTTCTATACTCTATTCGCCGAGAGTTGACCCACTCGCTCGACAAAAATCGGTCGTGGCAGCGCAGGCCACCGCGTCTTTGTGATCGTCGCCAGTAGCAGCTGCTTACTATGACGAGCGCTGTCGATCGCCGACCAATCACAGACCGGTCTCCTACTTGGGGGTTCTGAATGTTCCGGCGGCTCAGTATGTATGCGCGCAAGTGGGTCAACTCTCGGCGAATAGAGTATATTAAACTAGATTTCACATATACTAATTTCTTACAAGTATGGGTTATTTAATGTTCCGAGCCCTGAACTAGTTACTATTGCAGACATAACACATTTAATAAATTGTATTATCATGTTAAAATAGTCAAAAATTAATGTAATTTTAATTATCCATAGATGTAAATAGCCTTATAGGCTAGGAATGTCTTATTATAATAAAATGTAAATAAATAAATTCTATATACCACTAGCTTTGATTATACTATATAATATAATATTATTATGAACTTATAAGTCAATACCTGGGTAAATTTTGTTAGAGTAAAAAATGATAATGGTTTGGGTATTGTGACTGAGTACTAATAAACCCATGTCTTACACTTTTATAGATACTGAAAAGGGGCTAATTGATAAATTATTTGAAAATGCCACAAAAGTATTGTCAGAGGAAGATCGTAAACTACCAGCAGTTATAAATATAATCCCATTAATTCGTAGAGGCATTGGTATTCATCATGGAGGTAAATATTATTAGCTTATAAATAATATTAATATTCAAAAAGCTATAAATTATAAGGATTAAGGATAACAATCTTATTGTTGTATTATATGTTTCAGGTCTATTACCAATCTTAAAAGAAACTATAGAAATTTTGTTTGGTGAAGGATTACTAAAAGTTTTATATGCTACTGAAACATTTGCCATGGGCCTAAATATGCCTGCTAGAACAGTTTTATTTACTGCTCCTCGAAAATTTGATGGCAAAGAAAGACGATTTGTAAGTATTTTGTTTGTTATTAAAAATATATTTATTTTTAACTTAATCCTCATCAGTTAAAATAATTGTTATAGATAACATCAGGAGAATATATACAGATGTCTGGTCGAGCTGGTAGACGAGGATTGGATGACAAAGGTATTGTTATGTTGATAATCGATGAGAAAGTTAGTCCAGACACTGTCAGGAACATTGTACAAGGAAAGCCTGATTCACTTAATTCTGCATTTCATTTAACATACAACATGGTTTTGAATTTAATGCGTGTAGAAGAAATCGATCCAGAATATATGTTAGAGAGAAGCTTTTTCCAATTTCAAAATCAATCTGCAATACCAGAATTAGTTGAAAGTTAGTTATCAATATAATATTATGGTTCATTATATTTTATGTTGTTAATTTACGACAATATAAGAATATACTCGGTTCCACGAGAGAACATGCCGTTTCTGTGCATGTAGAATGAGATTCATTAATCTACCAGGCCGTTGTATACCTTCTATGTGGCCAAATATCTGACGGTATAGTGCACAAAACAAATGTAATCGGTTGGTGTTGATGTAGAGTGGCACCGCTACGCACACCACCTATTGTGAATTTGGTGCGGGTTGCACAGAGCTGAACCTATTCTCGTAATAGGGCGACATGTTCTCTAGTAGAACAGAATATAGTATTTAAATGAAATTACCATTCTTTTTTACTTTCATAATTTTTGTATATATTTTTTATTTTTTTTTTTTTGTAGAAGTAAAAACATTATCACTTGATAAAAACAAAATAATAATAAATAACGAATTTGACGTAAGGTCATACTTTTTAATTCGTCAACAGTTGGAAGATTTAGGAAAACAATATCATTCCTTTATAACAGACCCAAAAAATTTAGTACCTTTTTGTAATCCAGGAAGACTTGTTAAGGTCAGTAAATTTTAATTTTGAGTAAAATAATTTTATTACAAAAATACTAAATAGTAACATTTATTAAAAAATATATGTACAATACTACAGTTATTGTTAATCTGGATGGCTCACTTATAAGTCATTATCATTTGCACTATTTTTTGGACCAAGATAATAATCCTTGTCAAACAGGTTTTTATTTCATAATTTTATAGGTTTTTCATGACTTACTAATATAGAAAATTCAATCAAAATAAATGTTATAATGTATAATATATATTTTTAATTATTTTAGATTAAGAAGAATGATGTAGATTTTGGCTGGGGTGTTATTGTCAATTTCAAATCTGTAATGAAGAGTAAACATGAAGGTGGTGGTATTGGAGAAACAATATTAAATGTGCTATTAAATTTAGAACGATCTGTTGAAAATACAGAAGAAGAGCCAATACCTTGTGCTCCTGGGAAGTTAGGAGAACCTGAAATTATTAATATCAGACATAATATGGTTGAAGATTTAAGTTCTTTACGATTAAACAAAATGCCAAATGATTTAAAATCTCGTGATTCTCGAATGTTACTGTATAATAATGTAAAAGTAAGTTATTCAATTCTGAAATAAAATACATTACTACATTACAAAAAATCATAAAAATTATTAAATTTGTATACTTGTAATTTTATTTAGGAAGTTTTACAAAGATGTTCGACTGATATTCCTTTGTTGGATCCAATTAATGACATGCATATCAAAGATGCAGAGTTTGATAAAGTAATTGATCAAATTGAAAAATTTGAAAGTAGATTATTTGCTCATCCGTTACACGAAAAAGAAGATGTTGATGAACTTTATAATAAATATTTGGAAAAAGACAAAGTACTAAAAAATGTTTGTTTTATTTAACTAAACATTTTTAAAAAAACATTTTTTAACAGGTGGATCGAGAACTTTTAAAATCTAAAACTGAATTAAAGAAAGCTAGATCACTCATGCAAATGGATGATCTCAAATGCAGAAAACGCATATTGAGGCGAATGGGCTATTGTACCGCTGGAGAAGTTATAGAAACTAAAGGAAGAATAGCTTGTGAATTAAGCAGGTAAATTAAATTTGTAATAACAATATTGCATTAAAGTAATGAATTAATTATATTTTTATGTCTTAAGTGCTGATGAATTATTAATGACTGAATTAATATTCAATGGTGTGTTCAATGATTTATCAGTACCTCAGACGGTGGCATTACTTAGTTGTTTTGTATGTGATGAAAAAAGTAATGAATTGCCCGCAAAAACTGCCGAATTAGCAGGGCCTTTAAGAAAAATGCAGGTATATAGTTATATATATATTTATATGATGCTGTTGTACATCAGTATTTAACGAATCCCATAATTATTTTTATATAATCATTTATAACAAGATAAATAATTATTTTTAAGGAACTTGCAAGAAAAATAGCTAAAGTTTGTAAAGATGCTAAATTAGATATTGAGGAAGATTCCTATGTTGAAGGCTTTAAACCATTTTTAATGGATGTTTGTTACGAGTGGTGTCGAGGTGCTACATTCTATCAAATATGCCAAATGACTGATATATTTGAAGGTAAATACTAAATTGCATTATTATCATTTATCCAAAATATAGGGTTGGGATTTATTTTTTTTTTTTAAATTAAAAATCGATAATGTCCCGCCAAATCGGGACGTATACTAACCCTATTATAATATCACCATGAACATTAGAGAAAGGATGACTAAATGCGCGTATAATACTCCAGAATTATCGCATCTGCCAAATGATGTTGCTTTTACATGTAAAGCATAGGGAATTTATTGACTTTTATTATTATAATCTAAATGGTAAAACATATAAACGAAGAGACATAATAGACAATGAGACAAAATTGTTTATAAAAATAGTTTTGAATTATATAGGTATACCTATAATATATCAATAATATAATATCAATGCTCTCACAATTCACAAGAATTAAAATATGTAAATGTAATTTAGTTTATTAATTACATAAGAAATATTGATATATATAATTCATAAGTCCTGGGGGATGGAGTGGCCGAGAGGCTCCGGTTGCGACACATGCCGGCCGCGGGCGCCATTTTTCTTCGGGCAAGTCACGGTGTCCGGAGAGAAGTGCCGTCATCTCACACCCGGTCATGGCAGATACCTACGGGTTCCCACTAAATTACTAAATTACTAAAAGTCTGCCTAAACCAAAACACACGTGTTTAAACTTACAGTACCCTCCCCCACAGTAAAAACCACCCAATGACCTAAGTTGCCGCGGGTTTATTAATAAAAAAAAAAATTCAAAAGTATTTTTTAAAAACAATTATATCTCTTTGTCTGGAAGTAATATATTTTTGGAAACAGATTTATTCAATCGAGGACATTTTGGTTTTAAAAAGCGTTTTGTAGTAATTATTCACCATTTAGATTATAATAATAAAAAATCGATAAATTCCCTATGCTTTACATATAACAACTACATCATTACAGTCTGATAACACACATCCTGGCATATTTGATAATTTAGAAGGATATTTTTGTCACTCCTGCCAGTCGTGGTGTTAGGTGCCCTTCTTCTAATGTTCATGCGTATGACATTCTTAATAAATTTGGGAATTTCAGGAAGTATAATACGAGCAATGAGACGTTTAGAAGAAATATTGAGACAATTAATACAAGCATCCAAAAGTATTGGCAACACTGACCTTGAAAATAAATTCAGTGAATCTGTTAAGATTGTTAAAAGAGATATTGTATTTGCAGCCAGTCTTTATTTATAACGATAATTATAAATATTGTCCATTTTTTATGATTTTTGTATATTCCTGAACTATTAACACAATATTATATTATAATAAATATTTTCTGTAATTTTTTTTTTTTTTTAAATTCAACTTAAATTTTTCTAATCCCATCTATCCTATTTTCTAAATTCTTCACTATGACGAATATAACTATTGTTTTGTGTCATAAATAATTACCAAGATTTCTGTGTACTAATAAGATGCCTTGAAGGCTTGAAACCAGTGTCTGTGCCATGATTAATGGGACCCTGTGCAATTTATAAAATCAAGGTCCCTTTAAGCCCTTTAAAAAAGTGCAAGGCCCTGTGCGGTTGTGCACTTCCTTCACAATCCATGCGGCAGATCTGCTTAAAACTACCCTTAACAGCTTAGAACTCAAAATGTTTCATCCCAACTCATATATAACTGTAATGTACCTTTAGTACCTTCACTGTAAGGCTTACAGAAAAAAATTGAATTTTTACAGCTACATGATAAACCATTCTTTGGTGGTAGATCTTCACCCTACTGTTTCAATTGAATTTACTAAAGATGAAACAGCGGATTATTCGCTTGGAGTATTAGTCATAGAATGGACTTATAACCAATCATCTTCATTATCAATCCAAAACACTTCTATTTTGGTTTATGTAGACCTCGTACCGTCAACAATAAGGACATTTTTTAATTACACTTTCTCTGTTGTAATAAAATTAAGATTGAAGCTTCCAAAAAAAACAAAAAAAAACACTAAATTACAAAATATTTGAAATTACCACAAAATTCTTCAAAAAGAGATGGGTACCTATTTTGGCCCCTAAGTTATATATCAGGCATGGCAAATTATTTTGACGCTACATGCCAAAAATTATAATTTTTTTTTTTGAGAATACCATTAAATTATGAAGAGAGATACATAAAACTGAGGTACTTATTATTAGCATACGGCCAATATATATTTATCGGTCAATAATGATTACTCAATTTTATCTGCAAATATTAATTACATCTAGTTATATTTAATAATTTATAATGCTCAGTTTTTTAATTTTGTTGGCAAAAAACAAGTGAACTTAGTTAACTATCTTGTTGGGACTAAAGGGAGCATAAATAAAAGAAAAAAACCAATAGTTTTAATAAACTATTAATATGAACAAAACACTTGCCATACATTCAGTTTTAAACTTCTAACATGGTAATCTAGAAGATGACTGGTTCTAAATAATTAAGTGGCGTTAAGAGGTACAGCCAGGCCCGTACTGGTCCACCGGGAATTTTTCCGGTGCGCCCCATGATCAATTGATAAATTAAAGCCCCTCTCCAATTTATCATTATAATATATATTTACTATATAATATCAGAGTGTAGGTACCTATTTTATAATATTATATGGATAATGGGTGTTATATTATACAAATGTTATGTTTTGTAATTATGCATAGGTATTAGTGTATTACCTACTGTATTAGGAAGCTACATATTTTATGTAAATAATTGTTTTGTTATCATTTAAGACATTATTAACTATAGATCCATAGAGGTGACTTGTGAAATTCGAATACCGTAATCGATGTAAGACTGTGTGTGTGTGTGTGTGTGTACATTGATTATTATTTTTATTTTGGTTTTTCTACAGGACACCCGTCTAATAAGGTAGGTTAGGAAGGTAGGCTGCTAAGACATTTGTTGACTTTGCAGTTAAAACAATTGATGAAAAGGAGCTTCATGATATTGAAATAGAAGAAAAACTTTAGAAGAAACACAAACACAAAATTGTTTGAATTAACCCTTGATAAAGAAGTGCACACAGTAGAAATTGATCAATTTCGTATACAAATATTTTTGTCATTCCTTCACCGAAAGTTTGGTTTTCAATAGCGGTTGAAGCGTTGGAAAGCGTCCTTTTTCCGTCCAGCTGGTGGTAAAGTGGTAATCTCAAAAAGTGCCTTTCGCAGCAAATATCACGTGCATATCGCCTGCTAGGGCGGGAAGGCAATTTCAGTCTTGGGCGAAATAGCTCACTTCCCGCCCTTGCCACACAATATATTATTAATTGTACAATAGACACTATTATAAATAATTTAGATGTACAATTTTATCTCATCAGATCTTAATATATACAGATTTAGAATGTTTCGATCCTCAAAGATTCGATGGTATAAGAAAAAATGGTTTATCATCTAAAATGCGTTGGTTAAAATATGTGAACTGTTAGTTGTGTTTAACATCTTCAGGTGGTAGTTTGTAAATAAAACATACATCGGTAGACACCATTTTTTTAATTTGGTAGCAGATATATAAAAATATAGGTGGGGCCTATAAATATATTTTTTCCCGCGCCCTTTAGAGATAGCCAGTACGGGCCTGGCTACAGCTACAGTTGACACTACAATTTTATGATCAAATAAATAAAATCAACATTATTATTATAAACTACAAATAAAAACACAGAAGAAATAACTTGAATTTAAGTATTATAATTAATTTATTCTATCTTTATTTGTTTGTTTGTTTTTTAATTATAGTTGAAATATTTTTAACAATTTGTAAAAATATTTTGTAACAAAACATAGTATTGTATAGGATACACCTTAAATTAAAAACCATATAAAACTTTAAAATGTTTGAGTTTGATGTTAATTTTATAACTACTTGGGTTTAAACTATCAATCACAATTTTATTTTATTTTAAATTAATAGAAACAAGTTTTAAATTACTTTTACAATTTTATATTTAAAAAAAAAATTATATTAAATAAAAGTACATTGATTTTAAATAATAATGAATAAATACATTTTCATATTAAATACCCCAAAAATAGTTGACACAAATTCAATGAATTAAAACAAGTTGATTAAAATTATAATTCATCATGTTCAGCATCTGTTACAGGTGCTGTAGGCCTCTCGTTGTGTTGTACACAAACAGCTGGTACAACAAAGTCCATAGCGTATTCACAACGATTTGGTTCTGTAGCTGAGAGCAATGCTGGTTCTAAGCCACAATTTAAACGTACCTATTTTTGACATTTAATAACAACACATATTTATTTTTAAAATGCTAAATACAATTAGTTAAGTTGATTAGTTTGATTAAAATATGCTTACGTGAGTAGATCTTTGAGGACCATTCCAACAGTGTTGTCCTCTATCATATAACATAGTACGGTATTTGGGTTCACCGATCCAACTGTTCCAAGTACCCAATCTTACTTCAGATCCACCATTTTTGGACCGTTGAGTTATCTATAATAATTGAATTGGAAAAATGTATGTTTTTAATTTTAGTAAGAACTTACGATAATTTTAATAAATTTCATACTTGATCAAAAAGACATAATTTATACACATATTCACGGTCAGAAAGTTCATAGCATTCTCCATCTAGAGCTGCAAATTCATCTTCTGGACCAAAATCTTTATTAAGGGATTCTTGTAAATGAGTTACTTCACGTTGCAAATCTCTAAATTTTCTATCAGCTTCTTCAAATGCATTACGTGCTTGTTTGGCTTCTAAAATAAAAATTAAACAAATAAACAATTATTTAAAAATATATACTTAGGTCCATGGTCAAAGGAATGATCGATTTTATGTAAAAACCACTCATTATTTGAAAGACTTACATTGCCGCTTAACTAAATTACCTGTAGTATAGGTAAAATCACAAAAAAATATTTAGAATTTACATAATGAACTTGATACTTGTAGGTATAGTTTATTATAATATATGTATGTTTCTTTTTATGATATATTCAGTAAGATTTGATTTGTATTATAAAAATATTACTAAATTAAAAACCATGACTTTTGAGACAAGACTAATTAATTTACAATATAAATATGATGTACAGTAAAATGTTATTAATTTTATGATGAGTTGTATCAATAAAAATAAAACATATTTTAATAATCATACTTTGAATTTTCCCAAAAGTTTATATGCTTTTACAAGATGCGTAAGAATATAGTCTAAATATTTTTTAATAAAAATTGTAAAAGTATAATAAATAATTATTATTAAAATTAATTATGATCAACCATTCAGAAATGTATGGTAAAAACATATGAATGATCAAGCTCAGTTTAAAATAAAATAATTAATCACTTTCAGAATTTTATTTGAAGAACATTAATATCCAATAATTTACTTTAAATTTAATTCTAACAAGTTAATTTAAAAATTCTGCTACTGAAACCATTGGTGGCATGTCTGAATATTAGGCTTAGAATATAATTTATCATAGTTAGAGTTTTAAGTAATAATTAATTTTGAATTAATGTAATAAATAATAATACTATTATATTATTTTAAACAATAACCTTTCAAAATGTATAATGTTAACACTTGCCTTCAACTATTAATTTTGTTTCTTCGTCATACTGTGATTCATCAAGTTCTTCAGATTCTGTATATTTAACTTCATCTTCTACAGATTCACTTTCATCTTCATTTTCATCTTGATCCTCTCCTTCTTCAAGTTGTCTATCATTGTCTACGTCATCAGCTGCTGGGTGTTCTGTTGCTTTTACATCCATATTTTCAGCAAGTATTAATTGTTTTAAACGACTCCAGCCATTTAACACAAAATCTTCTAAACTTATCTCTTTTTTGTTTTCCATAAAATACTGAAAACAGTTTATTTGAATGATACATAAAAATAAATAAATGTAGATTGGATTTTGATAATTTAGACAAGCCATTTTTAAAATATTAAATTCCAAAAAAAAAAATATAAAAAACCAGCTCCTATTTTCAACAAAATCTTAACAATCGTTGAATGGTTTTAGTAATCATAATTTTTAAAATAAAATTAAAGTACTTACATCTTTTTCATCTTGTGAAACTGTACCATCATTGTTCTGATCAAAAGTAGAGTATGCATCTACTTCTTCTTCTTCAATTCTACATATAATATTTAAAATGTAATTATTTTTCAAATATTGTTTAATTTAAATTAAAATTATACTTGTTATTTCTATTTGTATCAATATGATT